CCCCAAAACCCCAAAACCCCAAAACCCCAAAACCCCAAAACCCCTCTGATAATATTTCGGGATGAAAATTATAAATGTCCGCTCTCTGATTATCTCTTGAATATTTTGGCAAACAGCATGATCAAAATTGCTGCTACTATAACGAAGGCGACTGAATATAGAATAAAGCGGTTTCGGGACTCATTCCTTCTAATGATATCAATAAGCTTATCAGAAATGGTCATTTCATCATCAACTCTTCCAATATTATCCCGAATTCTCTGCATTTTCTCAGTGTCTTTAGCTAAGTTGAACTTAGTGTCTTGGGCAATGACCTAAAATAAACCCTAAACTCTGTACCTCAGTTTCATGTCCGACTCGTATGACCTGATTCAGCTTATTATGTTGGTCTGAAAGAGGTGTATTCTCGCCTAAAAGTCTCTGGCTCTGGTAAGATTCCGTATCAGAGTGCTCATTCCAGTGAGAGCCATACAAATTCTCTTTATTCTTAATAAACCCATAGTCTCTTTGAGCTTTATTGACTTCTTTCCGCATTAACTCAACTTGGTTGGAAAACTCATTGACTTTTCTTTGGAAAGGAAGTTGTTCTGAGAAGTCTAGTTCCTTGACTGATAAAGAGAATTGCTCATATGACCCCTTAGCTTCTTTACTGTAGAACTGCATATCTTTAAATGCTTGCTCTAGCTTTTTGTCGCTGGAAACTTGCATTTCTGCTTTTGCTTTCTACAGAACAATCAGATTAGTCATGATTCTGATAGCTGGGAAGGCTTAAAAGATGGGTTTCGAAACTTCTGTTGACAGATAAACAATGTATTTATTTCAAATTCCTAATAAATAGGAGTATGGTATATTTTGAAAGACTGTGTAGGATAATTATAAATTCTAAGAGGGTTGTCTAAGAGCCATCTTATCCAAATAGTGGCTATCTCCCATCTTTTCTTTCTTTAATTTCTTACTCTATACTTCTTGAAATTATCAAGGTATTCTTCCTCATAGGTCTTGATCATCACCTTTTTAAAAATTCTAAATTTTTAATTTCAATAAAAGAGTATTTTTATGGGGTTTTGGGGTTTTGGGGTTTTGGGGTTTTGGGG